CTTCTCAACAGATCAATGACATGTACTCCATACTTCCAGCAAAAAAGCCTTATATGAATGGAGAAGATACAATGCTTTAGGAAAGCCTTCTTAATTAATCCCTCACATTGAGCTGCTCTGCCTTGTCCCTCCAAGGGTCCCTAACACATTTCTGAAAACTTAGGGGTTTTGAAACACTTTGAAAAATCACTGATCTAGAAATTAATAAGGCTCTGTCTAGCTCTCAAATGTTATAATACTTTGGGTTGTAGATAATTGCAACTAAATATTTTTGCTAAAATTCATAGAAGTTTTAGATTTCTTTCTTTTCTAGCAAAAACATTTATTGGTACATTTTAGATATGTACTTTAACTTTAGATATGTACTTTTAACTTTAGATATGTACTTTATGTTTATCCCTAAATTTAAAATACTACATTTTTCCTTTCTTGTTTCCTGACTTCAATCCCTTCAGCCATCAAATCTCCACTTAGAGCAAGAAACTCACGCGACTTTGGCACACATAGTACACTTCCAGCTGCCATCGAGGCCCACGACCCGACACTCACTGCACACCCTCAGTGAGCAGGCCTGGCATGGGTCTCCTCGGTCAAAGATTAGGCCCAGGTTTCTCTGGCAGTGAACACAGACTCTGCTGGTCTCCTGTTGAGTCTTCCCACTTCTACGTTTTGCTTCTAAGAGTTCATTTTTCAGCTTTCTGGAAAGAGAAAAAAGAACTCACTTTAAAATCCATAGAGAAGCGGGGCTCTATATCAGACTTACTTTCATTTGGAAGAGTATTTGAAACAAGGAGCGAGAGCCAAATGCTTTCATGAAATACATTTTGTCTCTCCAGAATCAAAGATCCTTTGATATTGACAGTTGAAAGATACATTGATATTTTGCTTTTGAAATCCTCCATTAGCACTATTTTTCTATGAGTACTTATTCACAATTCTACTCTATAGTGCTGGAGCACTGGCTCCTTGTAGCAGTGGTGGCAAACCTATAGTATGTGTGCCACAGTGGGCTGTTTGTATCACTGAAAGCTCTAAAAGGTTTGCCATCACTGAGCATGCATAACACCGTGTTCTTTATCTGCCTAGGTATGCTACATGAAGCAAAAGTTCAATTGGTACTTTCCTTAAAGTGGTCTGATAAAGATTATTCCATAAAGATAATGCCTATCATTTCAGATCTGAACACTTCTGCTTAGCATTTGAGAGTTTCTAATGATTCCCATTAACTTATGGGCTTTGCTTTCAGGCATGTCTGAGTCTAGGTTCAATCATGAGTTAGCTGTCTGGTCTTAGCAATGATTTACTCACTCAATCTCAGTCTCTTCATTTCTAAAATGGGAGTAATAATATTCTTCTATGTTTGTTTTTAAGAGTAAATGAGATGATAAAAGAAAAGTTCCCAGCATAGTGCTCGGCACAGGTATTAAACAAATGTTAGTTCCATGTTCTTTCTCTTATTACTTGACATATAACCTATTTATATATCCTTCAGAAACCTGCTATTCCAACTGCAGCCCTTGTTCCAGCAGCATTAATTATCTGGGAGCTTGTTAGGAACATAAAATGTTAGGCCCCACTTCAGATCAGATCAAATCAGAATCTGCTTTCTTATCCCACATATTCACATTTCAACAAAATGTCCAGGTGATTAGAGTTTGAGAAGCATGGCTTTAGAATGGTTGTACTCAAATCTGGCTATACGTTGGAATCACTTGGAAAGATTTAAAAAGGTATCAATGGCCATTTGTCACTCTCATACAGTCTGTTATCATTGGTTTTGAATGTGGCCTAGGCAATAGGGTTTTATAAGTTTCCTGCTTATTCTAATATACTGCTGGATTTGCAGAATATTGTTCTGGAAGACAGGTTCATTCCCACTTAAATGCTCCACAAACGCTTCTCTCCTTTATGTTATAGACCTCCAATCCCTTCTTAAATATAATATTTCTATTATCTGATCTTTCAGATAAATCCAGATTCATCCCACATTTGTGACACTAAATTTTGTCAGACCCAACCAGACTGTCATCTTCCCAAAGGCAAGAACACAGCTGTAGTTCTTGTACATACTGTCCAGGATCCAATTCTATGCTAGGTTATAAAGCTGTTGAATATTTAAAGCTATTTATTATTTCTTTTGACCCTTCAGACTTTGAGGTATTTTGAGTCTCACATTATTGCATACAGTACACATGTTTGAAATGTTACACTTAACCCATTAATAATTAATACATGTCAATGAAAAATAAAATTAAATATTTAAAAATATAGCAAGCAGTACAGATGGAACTGTGAACCAGGTCTTCTAATTCCCAACCTAATGAGAGTCATAAATGGAGAATTTTAAAAAAGAAGACTAAAGTTTCCAAAACTTTGACTTACGGTCTCATTCATTCAACCAACAAGCATTTATTGAATGTCTGCCTACTGTATGCTAGGCATTGTGGTATTCAGATACAAAAATGAATAAAACAGGACAACTACTAAGAGTTCCCATTGTGCTTCACGTTAGTCCAGAAGAATACCAGATAAGCTGGAGATTTGGCTCAGTGGTTCCGCCGCCTGCCTCGCAAGTGCAAGGTCCTGAGTTTGATCCCTGGTACCAAAAAAAAAAAAAAAAAAAAAAAAAGAATACCAGATAATTCAGAGTTACAGAAGAATAACAAGATAATTTGTGTGTTACAGAAGCCTGCTATAAAGAACATAAAGAACACTCATAAGTCTTCACTCTCTTGTCCATCTAAACACAAATGACAAGAATCCACAGCACATGTTTTCCTAATCCCTGTTTAGACCTTACAAAACATTATGTCCTCAAACAGAGCATGAACCTGGTTCATAAAATTCAATGAATGGAGAGCCCCAACAGAATTTATTTTTGGAAACTTGTAAAATGCACCGACTTTAAAATAACCAAAAAAAGTTCTCACTTAAAGACCTCACTGTATTATTTGTAGGATTCCAACAGTTGTTTGAACACCTTAGGGCACAGGGGAAATAGAACACTGCTTCCTCAAAATCTACAAGGAGTTATGCAGTAGTGATAAAGAAACAAAGTGTTCAAAATGAGTACAAAGACAGCAATCTCAAGTAGCATCCATTTCTAAATAGTTTAGTGAGCCAGAGAATAATATACTGAGAAAATGGAGGATTCTGGGATACTCTTGAAGCAAATTCTCTCCTTGAAACATCTAGTTTAAGAACCTCCTTAAACTAGGGTAGCTGAGACTACTTGAAGAAATAATGGCTATAAATTAGTCAAATATTTTTATTGCATCTTTCTTTATGCTCTACTTGACAAGATTTTATTTAGCAATCAGATTTTACCTAGTTCATAGTTATAGAGTCTAAAAGGACTTGGGGTCCATTATAAATCAAATCACAGAGAAATAAAAAAAAAGTAAAGGCTAAGTATGTTAGTTGAGCAATTCCTAAGACAACTGGTGTTTATTGTCCTAAATATTTTGGCAACTATCTCTGAGATATGTGGGAAAATCTGGGAAGAATTCCATAGTCTGGTAAAAAATATTAAAGAGCTTACTTATTTTTCAAACTTCTCTTAGAAATTCATCTAACTCAGTCACATCTAGGAGATTCCATGTTGAGTGGCCACAGCCATTATCAAACACTCATGTGGCAGAGAAAGATGTCTCAGTCTACTTTGTGCTGTTATAGGAGAATATGACAGGTTAGCTGATTCATAGATAACAGAAATTTATTTCTCACTGTTCTGGAGGCTGAGCAGACCAAGATCAAAGGGCTGGCATCTGGTGAGGGCTTTCTTGGTATGTCATCCACGGTGGAAGGGTAAGAAAATACAAGAGCGAAAGGGGTCAAAATTGTTATTATAACAAAATCACTCCTATAATAAAACACCAGTTCATTCATGAGGGCAGAGCCCACATGAACTAAGCATCTCCCTTTGGTCTCACCTCCAAACACTGTTATATTGGGCATTAAGTTGCCAACAGTGAGCTTTGTAGGACACCTTCAAATCATAGTGCAGTGTAGCTGAAATTAAGAAATTCTATAATTGGAGAAATAGTACCAAGGCAACTAGAAGTATAGGAAGCTAAAAGAGAGGAATAACATGAGAGATGCCTTTGCCTTCTGTTTAACTATCCAGCACTTACAAAGCAAGGTGGACCTCATATTGTTGCTGCATGGCTGGCCTAACCTCACTCAGCAAGGTATCTGAGGAATATAAACTTCTGGCTTGCAAGCACAATATCTGTACAGTAAACAAAGAACCCAACTGCATAAGCTAGAAATGCTTCTGTTTCCAAGTAACAGTCTTAAAAATGGGTTTCTTTCTTTTTAAATAACCAGATATCCAGAGTTAAGCAGTTGCTTACAGTATTAGTTCTGCTGCAAAGAAAGATCGTTAAGGTCTCAGTAGCCTTCTATCTAGATGCTTCTTCATGTTCAAAGTGTGGCTTATCATTCCTATACAAAGAAGCCAGACAGCTCCAGTGTATAGAATAGCATCCTTATTTAAGGGAGGAGGAAGTTTATGTGTGGGGAGAGGGGCATCAACTATATCTGTCTCTTAATAAAAAAGCAAAAGCTGATCCAGAAGTACTCTGATTAAGCTTCTCCTTTATGTTTGAGCAGATAATGTCGCATTATCATGCTAGCTGCATGGGAAGCTGAGAAAGTGACTTTTCTCTGACTTTAATGAAAGGAGGCAAAGGATAAAGGTCTAAGAATGACTTCCTTTCTTGAGAATAGCATGGAATTTCTCTAAGGCAGTAACCCTCCTTTCCTGCAAACAGACAGCAAATTTCAACACATTAGTCTCCTTCATAATATTCCTGTGCTCACTAAATAAGATATAGGCAGAGAAAAATCTGACCCCAGACTGTACAAACACCCAAACTTTAGAAGATCTTCTTCATTGCTTTGTCGCATGTGTCACCCAATTTTCTTTCCAAAGCTTTGGTACCAGTGAAAATAATGATACTTTTTAGTTTTAGACCACTTATATAATCACAATAGTTCATTTAGGTAAGTACTATCCAACTATATCGCCCACCTTATTAGTCACTTGTCATCCTTTGAATATTTTCACATTGTCTTCTTTCTCTGTGGTAGGCTGAATAATGGTTACTCAAAGATGCTGTAATTCTTGAAACTTGTAAATGTTACAATATTTAAAAGTAGGGTCTTTGCCTATCTATTTAAGTTAACAATCTTAAAATGGGCAGAGTATCCTGGATTATTCAGGTGGGCCAACACAGTCACAAGTGTTCTTTTAAGAATGAAGTAGAATAAGATGAGATACAGACAGAAAAGGAGAAGACACACACAGAAGGCACTGTGATCACAGGCAGAAATTGGAGCGATGTGGCCACAACTAAAGAATGCCAGGAACTGGACGTAGGTCATGCCTGTAATCCCAGCAGTCTGAGAGGCTGTAGCAGGAGAGTTGCAAGTTTGAGCCTAGCCTGAGCAATATAGAGATGTAGGAAGACACTGTTTTAAAAAAAAGAAAAGAAAAAGGGCCAGGGATGTAGCTCAGTGGTGCTGGCAAATACAAGGTCCCGAGTTTGATCCCCAGTACTAGAAAAGAAAAGTCCCTGGGTTCTCAGTTCCTTTGCCTGTTCATCTTTGACCTCTCTGTTTATTTTTCTGTCCATGTGAGTCATCCACTCTCATGGATAAACCTTAGAACTTGTCATTTCTAGGAATTTATATT